TCAGGGCGACCAAAGGGATTCAATGCTTCGTAAATATCGATCCCAGGGGTAGCATATACAAGGAGAACACTAGAGGGCCTAGAACTGACCCCTGGGGGACTCCGCAGGTCAGAGGAGCCACTGAGGAGAAAAACTTCCCCAATTGTACACAGAAGGATCTATCTGCAAGGTAGGATTTAAACCACTCTAGAGCAGAACCTCTAATGCCCACACAGTGCTCGAGGCGGGACAAGAGGATATTATGATCTACTGTGTCGAATGCTGCTGTGAGATCTAATAGCATTAAAAAAACTCATCACACAGTTACCAGAATCAAGGTTTAAAAGAAGATCATTAAAAACTTTTAAAAGAGCTGTTTCGGTGCTGTGAAGAGGCTTAAAACCAGACTGAAACTGTTCACCAATGTTTGCACGACCTAGGAATTATTGCAATTGGTTAAAAACAGCTTTCTTCAAGACTTTGGAGATAAACGAGAGTTTAGAGATTGGCCTGAAATTAGAAAGAACCAAAGGATCCAAATTTTTCCTTTTTAAAGAGGCTGCACTGTGGCATGTTTGAAGGAGGCTGGGACACGTCCAGAGCTGAGACACAGATTTATAAGAAACAAAATAAAAGGCCCAACTGAGCTGAAGACCTGCTTAAGCAAGTGGGATGGAATGCTGTCCGATGGGCAGTTAGCAGGGCGTAAGTGATTAACTATTTCAGTAAGTGCAGAAAGTGAGACAGGCTCAAACTGGTGAAAAACAGCTGAGCTTGCTGTAGGATTAGCGGGGTCCTGCACATGCTGGGGGTGTGAGGATCTAAGGGCAGAAATTTTAGTGACAAAGAATTGCAAAAAGTCCTCACACAGAGAAGCAGACGGTTCAACAGAGACAGCGTCACTAGGGTTCACTAGTGAGTCAAATACGTTAAAAAGAACCTGAGGTTTGTGAGCGTTTTTGGAGACAAGTGAGGAAAAATATTCAGCTTTAGCAGCTTGAACAGCCTGTTGACAATTAAAAAGGCGATCACGTAGGAGATCCCGAGATATCTGGAGATTGTCTTTTTTCCACTTCCTCTCTGCCTGTCTGCATGCGCGTCTGAGTGCACGAGTGGACTCATTCAGCCAAGGCTCAGTCTGTGGCTTAAAGCGCATTAAACTCATAGGCGCAATGGAGTCCAGGATCTTAGTGCAGAGAGAATCAAACAACTTCATACAAACATCCACATTGAAGTCAGCAAAGTCCTCTAGAGAATAGTTTTCCCAGGCAGCAGAAAACTGCAGAGGAGTCGAGGAGTTAAAAGCACGGCGACAGCGAGCGGGCGCAGTGTCTGTGGTGGGGGGCGCAGGTATTGAGAGGGAAAATAAAACAAGTAGATGGTCGGAAAGAGGAATGTGGCATATTTCAGTTATTTGTACATCCAGTCCATATGACAGTACAAGATCCAAAATATGGCCTTTTTCGTGCGTCGGTTCCGAAACAGACTGCATGAGATTAAGTCATTTAATTAGATTAAAAAAATCTACATCCTGGAGGGAGGAGCTCCGAAAAAGGAGCAAGCATCACCTTCGCGGGCCAGCTTTCAGTTAAGAACATAAAATCCAATTTGCGTGAGGTAAAAAAGTCATTTAGTAAAAAAGTCTTGTTGGTGACAGATCTCACATTCAACAAAGCCAACTTGAGGAAAAAAGTGTTCGAAGGTGAAGCACGTTCCATTGTGCGGGGGTTCCGAGGGTCCACGCCGCGACTTCCGGTCCGAAAACGCCAGCTGGTAGGAAGCAGCAACAGCTGGTCGGAGTCCGCCGAACAGCTGACGCTGTCAGAGACGCCAACGCACGGGAGCACCGGCCGGATCCATCGAATTCTAATCCTCCTCGGTCGCAGTCGCAGGGCAGGGGAAATATCCAGAAAGTGTAGATTAGTGCCATAATCCAACACACGAGCAGACCTAAAATAGGCCTCCAGTCTAACCCAGAGGCCTCCGCGTTTACCGCGTCTTCTCCGGCGTCTCTGACGGGCAAAATGGAGTGGGGGACGCCTCAGAAACGCCGGAATTTCTTCGGGGCAAGGAGAAAAGTACACCATTGGATCATACTTGAGCTGATCGTAGAAGCCTCCTATCTGAAGCAGAGTCTGACGATCATAAGTGAGGAGAGATGATACATCATGACAGAACAGGTAAATCACTAAACACATAGCAAACACAGAGCAGAGCGACAGACGGCCAGCCGAGCAGCATGGCGCCATCTTGAATTACCCTGTGTCCTGCCAGGGAGAAGAGCAGAGGGGAAAGAACGCAGCCTTGGAGGAACCGGTGCTGATGGTCCGAGAGGCTGAGACATGTTTCCCCAGCTTCACGTGCTGCTTCCTGTCAGAGAGGAAGTCAGTGATCCACTTGCAGGTGCAGTCGGGCACGTGCAGCTGGGAGAGTTTGTCCTGCAGCAGAGATGGGATGATGGTGTGGAAAGCACAGCTGAAGTCAACAAACAGGATCCTGGTGTAGGTTCCTGGGGAGTCCAGATGCTGGAGGATGTAGTGGAGAGCCATGTTGACAGCATCATCCACAGACCTGTTGGCTCTGTAGGCAAACTGCAGGGGGTCCGGGAGGGGGTCCAGGAGGGACTTCAGGTGGGTCAGGACTAGCCGTTCAAAAGACTTCATGACTGCAGAGGTCAGGGCCGGTTGGTGGAGCTGTGGGGGATGGGATCAGGACATTGTCTTTCGAATCTGCAGTAGAACTCGTTCAGCTTGTCTGCCAGGCGGAGGTCATTCATGAAGTGGGGGGTTTTTGGCCTGTAGTTAGTGAGGTGTTAGAGGGCTCTCCAAACCAAAGCAGAGTCACTTGCTGAGAACTGTTGTTGGAGTTTCTCAGAGTACAGTCGTTTAGCATCTCTCACCGCCTTGCTAAACTTTCAGATTTTGACTCTGTGTACAAGTCTTTGTCCCTACTCCTAAATGCCTGATCCTTCTGCAGACGTAGTGTTCTGAGTTCCCCTGTGAACCAGGGTTTGTCGTTGTTGTAACTCACCCTGGTGCATGGTGGTACACAGCTGTCCTCACAGAAGCCGATGTACGAAGTTACAGCCTCTATGAACTCATCCAGACTGTCAGTAGCAGTCCTGAAACCATCCCAGTCGGTGCAGTCAAAGCACGCCTGAAGATCCTCCAGCGCCTCACTGGTCCACTTCTTGAATTCCCTCACCACAGGTTTGCAGAGCTTTAGTTTCTGCCTGTATGCAGGAATCAGATGGACCGTGACGTGGTCAGAGTGTCCCAGTGCAGCACGAGGGACGGCATGATAAGCCCTGCTTACTGTGGTGTAACAGTGATCCAGCGTGTTCTCCTCTCTGGTGGGGCATTTAATAAACTGTCTGTATTTAGGAGATTCTTGGGTGAGATTTCCTTTGTTAAAGTCCCCGAGTACAATAACTAAAGAGTCCGTGTTGGTCCGCTCCACACGCCGTATCTGGTCGGCGAGTGTCCGCTGTGCCTCGTGCACGTTGCCCGGCGGCTGCATGTAAACACCGACCAGGATATAAAACCATAAAATGGTCTGCAGTTGATGAAGAAAGTTTCCAGATCAGGAGAACAGTGTTTTAGGATCACCGTTACGTCGTTGCACCAGCTGCTGTTGAAGTAAAAGCAGATTCCTCCACCTTTTGTCTTGCCGGAGAGCTCCGAGTCGATGTCCGCTCTGAGCAGCTGGAAGCCCGCCAGCTGGAGCGTGGAGTCCGGTATCATTCCGCAGAGCCACGTCTCCGTGAAGCACAAAATGGAGGATGTAGAAAAGTCTCTGTCTCTCCTCACCAGCAGCTGAATTTCGTCCTGTTTGTTGCACAGTGAGCGCACGTTGGAGAGAAAGATGCCTGGCAGCGGTGTGCGAGAACCACGCTTGCGGAGTCTCCCCAGCGAGCCGGCCCGTTTTTCTCACCTACGGCGTCTCACCACGTGACGAAAGGTGAGCGCACCTTTGACTAGAATGTCCAGTAATTCCACGGAAGAAAGCAGGAAAGTTGGAAGTAAGTCCGCTGGAGTTGTTCCACGGATGTTCAAGAGCTCATCTCTGGTGAAAGAGCTCCAGGAATCGCAGCAGGAACCATAATTAACAACAAAAACAACAAAAAACGAAGCACACCTAAGTACCGTGGCAGCCATCATCGGCGCGATCTTTGTATTTATTACACGTCATCATAAAAATGTTTTAATTTTGAATAAGGTGATCAATTGAAATAATCCCTAAAATACAATAAATTATAATTTTCCTGTGTAACACTGATGTTTTTTAAAAGTGCTGCACAAAGAACTGCATCCATGCATCTTCCTACCTGTATGTTGCATTTCTTTATATTACCTTAAATTTGAAAGAAAACCTCAAGGTTAAGAATTAACGAATTTAAATGATTTATCTGCACTGAACTCCTGAATGGAATGATAATATTTTAACTTGTCATTTTAATTCACACTGGAACATTCGACACCATGTGGTTATTTCATTTGGAATTTATAAAATTACTAGAAAACGTTGTATATATATTTAAAATGTGTATAGTAATAGTGGTAGCACAATATAAAGCCATTCAGATTAGCTTCAAAGTGATGAACACTTGCATATTACTTTGTCTCATAGACTTCTATGGGACCAGAGGCGTCACCCCCTGCTGGTCATTACAGAGAATGCATCTTTACTGCACTTGAACTCTTAACTTCACTTTAATGAACCACAGGTTGTCTCCTGGACTGAAGCTCTCTAAACTCCTCTCCTTGTGTCTTCTTCAGTGGTTTAAGGTCACCGGATAGGATTTGTACTTAATTTGCATTTTTATTCAGTCAGTTGTTTTGATCTTTGCAGGAATCAGGAATCAGGAAACATTTATTACCAAAATATGCCAAACATACAAGGAATGACTCAAACTCAAACTCAGTTCCCTACTAATGTCCATCACAGCGACCAAACTGGTCCCTTTGAACTCTGCCAGTCTGAACATTAGTGGAATGGAGAATAATAATAATGAAATCTCATTCATCTGTCTCTGTGCTGTTTATTATTTTTTTGTACATTTTAATACTGAAAACGAAAAAAAAGGCCTCAGAAATTCTCTCTACTTTTATCGTCAAGAGCGTTTGGCTGAAGACACAAAGTGTCTTTTAGCCTCCGTACTTCCTGCCGATTAAACTATCAAACAAGTTGGATTCAACTGTTCAGTGTTAAACAAATGACACTGGACTTTATTCACTTGAGAATGACAGCAGCTCTACAGACATGGCTTTAAGTGTCACACTTTATTTACAAAACTTCTGAGAACCAACAGCTAAGGAGCGAGACGGCGAAACAAGACTTTTCAAGACTTTTCTTTTTTTTAGGGTTTAGGGTCAGACTCGCGTCCGGTTGCAGGGTTGCTTTCTGGGGCGATCTACTTCCTGCGGCGGGCGGCTCCCTTCTTGCTGCTGTGATACGGAAGAAAAACACAAGGAAACACGTCAGAACAACTGGCTTCTTACGACTTGGAACCGGGAGCGGATGAACCAGATGTGAAAATTCAGCGGGATGTTTCCCCACACGTTTTTTAGTAAAATACACTTTTTCCTTTTCTCCAATTGAATAAATCAAAGCAAAAAAAAAGCATTTATTGAAACTAAATGTAGCTTTCAATGTAAGAAAGAATGAATATGAGGTTTAGGTTTGAAACAGCTTGTATATTAAAACAGGAAAGTAGGTAAATAAACGGTCTAAATTGCAAAAAAATACCTTCATCAAGGAAAACATGCATTTCACAAATGGCTCAAAACTGTGGAAAATTGCAACAAAAAACCCCAGCTAGACTCCCCTTCTGCAGCGGCACGGTCACACATCTCCGTGGTTGTGAACTCGTGCATCACTTACCTGCACGTTCAATGAATCGCGACCGAGTCCGACGGCGACTTACCGGGATTCACTTCACAGTAACTGTTTTGCACTGAAAAAGCATGCACCATTCTGGCTCATAATTGACAATTATTTGTTACCACTTGAGTGATAATTGTTATGAAGTTTACACTTTTTTGGAGAAGCCGGAGGACATCACATCACCAATAACAATTTAGCATAGCAGCCTTAAGCTGTCCAGCTGAGTTCCTAAACTTTCAAAATGAAAAGAAAGTTATGTTGTTAGTTTTTAGCATTTTACTTATGGAAACCATTTAATTAGCTGTAAACAATTTAGTTTATCACTGCTATTTTTTCTATGTTACTAACGCAACTAAGTCTAGCTTCATTTTCATGATCAATCCAACTGTGCTGGCCTTTAACTACGTTAGCTGGTCAACTAACTACACAGCTTGAACTAACTACACAGACTAAAACTACAAATGTCCATCATGTAAAACGCTGCATTTTTGCTAATTATTTTCTGCTCTGAACTGCCATAAATGGTCATCCTAAAGGTCAAGACCTTTATGTCTGACTCGGGGTCCACGCAGCCAGTTTGGGAGTTTTTGGAGGATTTGCCCAACAGGTTCCCAGTATTTACTTCTTCTGCAGCTTGTCATTGCGGTTTCTGCACATGAGCACCTGAAAAACAAATAGCGGCAGCATGTTTACCTGAATGGAGAAGGTCCTCCAACAGGCTCCGTGGGGCTGAGGCATCATGGAAAACCAAGATGGAGGCTGAAGCGCGTGATCAGCGTTTCCTTAGAGTTTACCTTTGTGTTATTTTTATATCGTAGCAGGTCCCGATCAATGCTATCAATGCTAGAATCTGGAAACGTATATTAACACCTGATCACTGTAGCTTAGTCTTGTCTTGGTTTTCCAAAAAAAAACAAAAAAAACGTGGACAGTTGAGAGAAAATTGGCTTCAGGTGGGCTCCGATGAGTCCAACTTACCGGGGACGTCCCGAGTGGGACGCCTTGCTGAGGAGGTCAACACCATATTTACCTGCTTCAGGTCGCTAATCTGCTTTTAGCCAAAGAGTTTGACTCACAAATAACAACCACCACATTTGAACAATAGAAAATAAATAAGTTAACCTTTAGAAAGAAAGGAATCTGGTTTGCTCCGGTTATTATTCGACCTTCATGTCAACATGCAGCGAGCCTGCAACCCCCCTTGCTGCTCGGCTCTACTCACAATTTACTGAGCTCCTCCACTCTCTTACGCAGGGTTGTAACCTGCAGGGAAAGAAAGACACGGCAGGAGTTCAAAGTGAGAATTGATGGGGTTTGGATGTGTGGATTAGAGCACGCATCAAACCCACCTGTGGAGGAATATATTATTACGGATTTCATTTGTAATAAAGTTTTCAAATGTTAACTGTGAATCACAATTAGCGGCAAATCAATTATTCACAAGTAAAATGCAGTGAACCACTGAAATCAGAATTGATTGATTGATTCATAATTGATAAGTCATAAGTTTGAATAAAGACTATTACAAAATGATAAATTATTGCCAAATGATAAATGACAAATGATACTATTGATTTACATTGTTACGTACTGAACATTTTCGTAAAGTAAGTAAGTATCCCGTATGAAAATAATTATATAACCCATTCATGTGTATAAAATGTCTCACCTCGTATTTCTGCCTCTTCAGTCTTTCCATGTGGTCGAACTTCTCGGACTCCAGCTCAGTCATCCATTCATGCAGCTCAGTGATCTTATCCCTGCAGGGACACAAGAACAGCGTCATGCAGGAAGGGACCTACTGTCTGATGGTGAGCAGATAGGACTAAAGTGAGATTAAGGTGAGTCCAGGTAAGACTAAGGCGAGTTCAGGTGAGACTAAGGTGAATTCAGGTGAGACTAAGGTACGTCCAGGTGAGCAGGTGAGACTAAGGTGAGTCCAGGTGAGATTAAGGCAAGTTCAGGTGACACTAAGGCAAGTTCAGGTGACACTAAGGCGAGTACAGGTCAGACTAAGGCGAGTACAGGTCAGACTAAGGTGAGTCCAGGTCAGACTAAGGTGAGTAGGTGAGACTAAGGCGAGTCCAGGTGAGACTACGGTCAGTCCAGGTGAGACCACGGTGAGTCCAGGTGAGAAGGTGAGTCTCGGTTGTACTTCAGCTTGTCTTCGTTCAGGTGGTCGATGTTGAGCTGCTTGCGTCTGGCGGCCAGGATCTTCTTCTTCTTCTCTCTCTCAGTCTCTTTTTTTCCTCCTCTCTTTTGGTCTGCCTGTCCAGTGGAGTCAGGCAGGTTAACGAGCAGTACTTTCATCTCAAGGAAAAGTACTTCTATATCTAACCATACTTGGATCTGAGTATATACGCTTCATGCTAACTTTCTTCATTCATTCATTTGACCCTACCAGTTACTTTTTAGATATACCCTTACCTGATATGAAGCAGTATTTGTAGTATCTCAAATTGGCTCCACATTGACAAATTGAAGAGTTATATCTCAGATAATAAATGAGCTTTTTCTGTACAGTGAGTACTTTCACTTTTGATACTCAAGGAACATTCAGTTCATAATACTTTTATTTATTGACTATTTCTTGCAATGGAGTATACAAAGATTATATTTACATGAAAAAGTAACATCATTAAAAAAATACTGTTACGTCTTGCATTAGAAACCTTATTTAAATAAAAGTATTTTATCCGTCCTAAGTGTTACAAAACTCACCCCATGTAGGTTGAAAGTGTAATAACAGCGTAAAGTGACAGATGTACAAAAGCCCAAAAGTGCCATTATTCAACCCGAGAAAACAAATAGATCTTAAGATTATGGCAAATTGAATTGACAACAAAGAAATTAATGCTGTAGTAGAATTAGTAGTAGTATAAGACTAATACTGTAGTACAGCGGTTCCCAAACTCAAGAATGCCTCGGCCCAATTTGAAATCTGAAAATCTTTCGCGGCCCACCCAAACCTTTAATCACAACTCTGATCAAAACATAATGATTAAATGACCTTAAGAATTTAACCAAAATCAAACATCCGTGAGCAAAAGTCTGTTTTGCGCGAGCAAAAGTTTGTCTCCGCGAGGAATTTGCTCGCTTGCGAAACGTGGACTTTGTTGCTCGCGAGGAGAATCTCTGCTCGCGGTCGAAGGAGTTTTCTACGTGCTCGCTGTTGTTCTTTTTGACAGGTGGAGACGGTGCTTACAGGGTCCGATCGCCCCCCTCGCCATCCACGCCTTAAATCTTCGGCTGCTTTTAGAATAACTTATTTTCCCCGTTAAGATGGTTCAGCTACTGTAGAGAAAAGGGCGCCCTCTCTCGCTCTTTAATTTCATTAAATGCTCGGCAAGAACGACAGCTTTGTTTCTCCGACGCGCCCTGAAACAAGCTCCATATCTCATGTGCTTGAGCGCCCGCTCAGCATCTCGCCGTCGTAGACCGAGCTTTGGCATGTTTGGCAGAGCGCCTTGAGTGCCGTGTACAACCAGTATGAATCAACCGATTAACCAATTGATCCATATATATAAGGCGCTCTGGATTATAAGGCACTGTCGTTTTTTGAGAAAATTAAAGGCTTTTAAGTGTGCCTTGGAGTGCGGAAAATACGGTATATTTACTTTAATACTACAAGAGGGCGCCCCGTTTGTTGAACAACGACAGGCGGACAAGAGCAACCGTTTCGAGCGAGAGCCTTATTGTTTTATTAATCTGTCTGTTTTAAATTGTTTGTGCTTCATCAACTAATGTTTCACATAACTAATGTGCCGCATCATAAATATTTTTATATTAATTTCAAACTTTTAAAAATTGAAAATTAAAAAACTTTATTTATTTATTGTAAATGACCTCTCGCGGCCCACGTGCAGTACCTTCGCGGCCCACACTTTGGGAATCGCTGCTGTAGTAGTATTACTGTGTACTGACTTTCTGCAGGTGGCTGCTGTAGTTTGAGCCCATGCTGGACAGAGCCGACTTCTTCTTTGCGTCGTCATCTTGCTTCTTCTTGATGTCACTCTCCTCCCTTATCCGCCTCTCCTCCTGATTCACACAAAGGGAAAAGATGGGTGTCGGTGAGTGAGACCAGGGTCGGATTTCTCAGAGTAGTGACCCCTGACCCCCGCAGCACAGGACACAATAAAGTCATAGAGCAACTTTGACTGGGTCAATGTACACCTAAAATACTGATAGACAAAAAGAGGATGCTGTGTTTTCATTCAAATATGGCTTCAATAGAAATATGCAAATAAACTTGAATATTCACAGATAACTGCAGATGTATACAGAAAATATAAAACATTGCATGGAATATCGCATATATATACTAATATATACACTCACCTAAAGGATTATTAGGAACACCAGACTAATTCTGTGTTTGACCCCCTTTCGCCTTCAGAACTGCCTTAATTTTACGTGGCATCGATTCAACAAGGTGCTGAAAGCATTCTTTAGAAAGTTGGCCCATATTGATAGGATAGTTTCTTGCAGTTGATGGAGATTTGTGGGATGCACATCCAGGGCACGAAGCTCCCGTTTCACCACATCCCAAAGATTCTCTATTGGGTTGAGATCTGGTGACTGTGGGGGCCATTTAAGTACAGTGAACTCATTGTCATGTTCAAGAAACCAATTTGAAATGATTGGAGCTTTGTGACATGGTGCATTATCCTGCTGAAAGTAGCCATCAGAGGATGGGTACATGGTGGCCATTAAGGGGATGGACATGGTCAGAAACAATGCTCAGGTAGGCCGTGGCATTAAACGATGCCCAATTGGCACTAAGGGGCCTAATGTGTGCCAAGAAATCATCCCCCACACCATTACACCACCACCACCACCAGCCTGCACAGTGGTAACAAGGCATGATGGATCCATGTTTTCATTCTGTTTATGCCAAATTCTGACTCTACCATCTGAAAGTCTCAACAGAAATCAAGACCCATCAGACCAGGCAACATTTTTCCAGTCTTCAACTGTCCAATTTTGGTGAGCTCTTGCAAATTGTAGCCTCTTTTTCCTATTTGTAGTGGAGATGAGTGGTACCCGGTGGGGTCTTCTGCTGTTGTGGCCCATCCGCCTCAACGTTGTGTGTGTTGTGGCTTCACAAATGCTTTGCTGCATACCTCGGTTGTAACAAGTGGTTATTTCAGTCAAAGTTGCTCTTCTATCAGCTTGAATCAGTCGGCCCATTCTCCTCTGACCTCTACCATCAACAAGGCAGATTGTGAAATACTCTGACCGGCCCGTCTGGCACCAACAACCATGCCACGCTCAAAATTGCTTAAATCACCTTTCTTTCCCATTCTGACATTCAGTTTGGAGTTCAGGAGATTGTCTTGACCAGGACCACACCCCTAAATGCATTGAAGCAACTGCCATTGGTTGATTAGATAATTACATTAATGAGAAATTGAACATGTGTTCCTAATAATCCTTTAGGTGAGTGTATATACTTATACTGGGCACCAATAACAGGTTGTATTTTTAAATAGTTTGATATACAGACTGTATATGAAGTATCCAGTAAGTATGTAACAATTTTAGTACATTGACAACCTGAAAACAGACAGATCACCCCAGGTAATCCGAAGACGAGGTGAACCACTGACCTCTCGTCTGGCCTGACGCTCCTTGTCCTTCTCAGAGCGGACTCTTTGCTGCTCGGCCCGCTCAGCGCGACGCTTCTCCTGCAGCGTGATGGGATTATGAAGCATGACAGCACACATCATGTTCATCATGAAGGATAACGTCATTGATCATGCTCATCATGAAGCATGAAGTCATTGAATTAAAGCAGTAATTAAAATGTATAATCATTGACTTTTTAGTTTCACTTTGGAAACACACTAACATGGTTTTGTTTACTAAATCGACAGTTAGATTTAATCAACCGATTCAACAGTCAGATTTAACTCACGATCCTGTCCTTCAGGGCGATCAACTCCTCCTCCTCCTTCTTCCTGTGCTCAAAGTGAGCGTCGATGAGACCCTGCAGCTCCACCAGATCTTTGTTCTGACGTTTCTTCTGGATGTCCTGATGGTCACAAACAAACAAACCTTCAGCTCAACACTAAACGTCTTGGACTGAAATCCTGGCATCGCCGGTCCTCTTACATCAAAGTCCACTTTCTCTCCATCTTGGGGGATCTTGGGGGCGCTGGGCCTAAAGAGGTAGTTTTCACTTTAAGTGCGGTAGTTTTAGTGTTTAATGCTTTATTTTATTATCAGACAAATGTCTGGAGAGGAAATGTCTGCAGAAATCTTTTGAAGTGCACTAGATTAAACTTACTTGAACTTTGGCTTGTCCTCTGCAGGTGAGGAAAAGTAGAGGGGACAAGTACATGTCATGGGGTTAGAAACCAAGCAAATTATTTCACTTTCTCTCAGGCATTACACAGATTAAACTACATGGTTATTCCTCTTTATTTGATTAGTTAGTTTTCTAATTGAAGTTGGTTAGAACAACAAGTAAACACTGAAATAAAAAACAAACTTCTCTTATCAAAGAGAACATGAAATTTAGTGGACATTAGAGAAGATCTTGCTGTGAGTTAAGCTACACAATGTTGAATTATGACAAAAATGGGATTTCTTATTGGTCTGAATAAATTGTGACATTCATGTATATGATATGTGTAGTGTTTTTATTTGGCTTGACCCCAAAACCATTTTACACAAGCAAGACAAAGCCCCCTCACCCCTTCAGTTGTTAATAACACCCATATTCTGCCGGATCCATGCCATGCAGAAGACAAGTGGCAGCAAAGAGTGGCAACATGGGAAGCATGTGTTAGCATTTCATGGGCTTTCCCTCTTTTTCTCCACCAGCAGCTTTAATCTACAAACTTCATCAATAGATTTTTGAAATGTTGTCTTTTTGTGTGTTTTTGTTTGGAATTGGGCAGCGCTACTGGATTTATTTCGACAAAGACGGATGGAAAATCAGCAGGCGTTTCCCGAGGTACAGACGTCAGACCTGTACACCGTGGTCCTCCCCAAAACCAGAATGACAGATTATAGGTTCCGTTACATTAATCCAAATCAATATACCTTCTTCTCCGAAGGCCTCTGCATGCAGAAAGCATCCAAAACAAAAAAAACAGAACAGACAATAAGCGCCAGCCGGAGTTCTGAGCGCAGCAAAGCAGTTTAACATAGAGAAACTACAACATATACCGACTGTAATTCCTCAAATAATAACCGATATTAAGAGGCCAGCACCAACAAGTAAAGGCTCAGCAAAGGAAGTCGCTAATTTGCGCTATAGGAATTTAAGAAGCTGCTGTGAAATGTGTGGGAGCAAAACCGTGCCTATTTTCAGTAATATCCTATATATCAAAATAGGTCTTGTGGAGTTTGAGGTCAATAAAAGGCCAATATTTGAGGATTTACAAATAAATATATTCTTACAACTTTTGTTGAAGTAACAGTTTGACCAACAGGACGTACCTATTTAAGAATTTCAGCCGGCCAAAAATCCATTTAATGTATACCAACATTTTAGGACACACTATGTTAGGCTAATTTGCTAATTTATTGCAAGTAGAGAAAAGGGGAAGGCAGGAGTAGATGGTTCGGAGTGGGGGGGTGAGTTGATGGAAAAAGACAGGTGGGGGAGAGACGTTAGATATGAGGAGGTTCAGGAATGGCGCTAAAGCATGTGACACAGCAGGCGGTTACAGGAAAGAAAAGGTCAATCATTGATGAATGATCGATGCGATCTGTTCCCTCGAAGACAACTTGGTGTGGATCAACGACAAAAAGAGACGCGTTCCACGCGCGTTCTTCATTTATCTCAGTTATTGTTAACCGGCATGCCACAGAAAAAGGTTCACAAGAAATCACTGACGAATTAGTACTGGTTGCATTAAATATCATCTTACCATCGTATTCTTCACATCCGTCCGAGTAAAGAAAGGAGCAGAAGAACATCATAAAAATATCCCAGGTCTGTACCCATTTTTTGGACAAATTGTGTAGATTCAAAAATGTGGGTACACAAATGTGGGAATCCATGCTAAGCACAAAGAGGCGCCTTTCCTCCTGGGCCGACCGGTGGCCAACAAATGGTGTTTTTTTAAACCTAAAAATGTCCTTTTGGTCTGAGGCCGGTCGGCTTGGGGGGGGCGCGGTGTCGTTGCAGGTGATCATGCAGAGCTTCAGTTTTTTAGCATCTTTTACTTGATGTTACTTTTTGAAACCATGTACCAGGATAATATATCCCTGCAGATTGGCTTGGAAACGGGAAGAGAGCATTGCTGCACAACTTTAACCTGGAGGGAGTCAAGCCAAACCTGTGAACAATACCGACTTGTCCAGTGCAACTACTTCTCTGCGGTGGGGTGGGTATTCACTTAATTTATTTAATTAAGCATGGAACTCCGGACTGTACCTGAAAGCTAGATTGTCGGTATTTGTATTTTTATGTTTTAAAAAACAAGGGGAAAAGGATGCTACTTACCCTCCTGACCACTGCAAGAGAGAGGGCAAAGAAATTCTTATTAATAATCATAAGACGCCTCACATCATGTGCACCAGTATTTTGACAAAATAAGCCTACACTTTTTGTATATAAACCATCTCTGTGGGAGGTGAACAATAGTGGAAGTCAATGCGAGTGGACTTACACTTCCTCTGTGTCAGACATGATGATGGTGGACTTTGCAACCTGGAGGCGAAAGAGTAGAGAGTAAAATTGAAGGCTTTATTTATAGCTCGGGATTAAGTTGCAGATGTCTTGAATGTCCTATGGAGACCCCACCCTGCTGCCATGCGTATATCTCAACCCCTCACACCCGCCAAAAAAAGAAAATGAAACAAAATAAATGTCTTTATTAATCTCCCAAAATGTTTTTTTTTTGGAGGAGGTTGTATTTGGAAGAAAAGACTCACTGATTCTTTTAAATCCAGCCCTCAAAAAAACTGTTTATAATTAGAGCTTCAACTTTGGGCTGAAATTGGAGCCTCAGTCCTGAATCTGCTTCTCAGACGATAAGTGAGAAGGGATCCAGTTATATTTGTGCCAACGGTTTGTTTTCAACCGCTGATGGATGAGTTTGATCTTGAAGGGGTGTGGGTGGGTTGGAGGTTGCCGTCCTCATCTCTTCTCTCACTTCTGTCGAAGTCCTTAAAGAGTTTTTATATTTAGAAATCCTCTTCTTGCAAATTTCGCCCCACTCTCACAATCCCTCCGAGCAGCAGAAGTCCAGAGCATATTCGATCGATCGATGATTGACCCTATCAACCCTATCACACCTTGGATCAAGTGCCCCTTTAGTTAAATTAGCTTGAGGCCGCTCCAGGAATGTCTCCACAACTATTTCTAACTGACAGCTGCACGGATTCCCAGATCCGGTTTCAAGGAATGGGGGACAGGGGATAAGAAAGGTCTAGAAAGATTGGGTTCCTTCCCCCGGACCATTTACCCACAATTCCACCTTCATGTCCTTATCCGGCCGTCTCGCCATGTTCCCTTCTTAGGAATTAAAGGGGCTTCCGCTAAGCTAACGCTGAAGGCTTCCCTGTATTTGCTCTTTGGATTTCGTTAACTGCAAATTTATGCCCCCCCCCCTTCCTCATTGACCCCATGCCCTATGCCCCGTCATATTCTTAAGTCCGGTCTTTTTTTCTGCTCCCGTTCACCATGTTAAAGTGTTTATCCTCATGCTATGGGTGGATTAAATGTACACGCCACGCCCGAGACTTGGATATCGCAGACAATAATCAGCAAATAAGCCAGCAGAGCTAACCAAAGTGCCTCCTCCCCTCCCTACTGGACTACTGGACAGAAATAACAACACCATTCGCTGCCGCATAACTCATTAGTATCGTCTTCTGTCCCCTGCAGGACAAAGTTGCTTCAAAGGCTTTAAGCCGTCTGCAAATCCTTCAAGTATGAACGTGGGGCAACTGCCTCCACTCGATCAAGACCAACACAGAAACAACAACAAAAGCCCTCTTAAGAAAACAGCGGATGTCAAGCAAAGAATGTCTAAAATCCCAATGAGCAAAATATTCTGGTTTGGAGATCCCGGGATTAGAACCACAGTTTAAACTAGGATGTAGGAATATCTCCCTCTTTGGAGGGGGGACCTGTTCCCGTCTCACCCCGTGTTCCCCAGCAGCAGCCTCCACCGGCCGTTGCAGTCATTTTTTAACACACGTGGACTTCGCTGTCCTCAGATTTGTATGACAATAGTGTGGGAGGGGCTGGAGTCGGGGCATTGCGTTGAGTTCCCTCTTCTGCTACTCACACTCACAAACACTCTCGTTCTCACTCTCTTACCTCAGAAAAGCTGAAAGAAGTGAGCTCACCGCTGGCCGAGACTGGCTGTAAGGTTCTGCAAACTTACCACGCTGATTATGTGCTTCTGTAGTGACACACGATCCGCTCGCCCTCCCCATTGGCCAGAGACGCGTCCCGGAGGCTAGGCCGGGCCGGGCCGTGGGTCCCGCAGCTTTCGCCGCACCCACCCCGCCCCCCACTGCCACTTAATAAGGAGATGGAAGTGTGGAATACTAAGGTGGGGGGCTCAAGTTTAGAGAAGGAGGATGGGAGTCCGAGATACCCTGCTAAGTTGCTATTCTGGGGCAGCTGCATTTTAAGGCAAGCCGAATTTCAAGTAAGGGCGAGAGGGCGTCGTCACGGGAGCTGGTCAGGTGGTGATCCCGAACCTCTTGAAGACGTCCAGGGACACATTCACACAACGTTCAGTCAGAGGAGGACCTGAAGAATCTGTCCATCCAAGTTTCAGAAACGCCTCCTCAATCCCTACGATCAACTCCTCTGGTTCCCCAGGAGAAATCCACAGATCTGCTTCAGGAGGGTCTTCAAGTCAACCAAGACACCCAATAAATGACAACTGAGATTATACACACCCTATTGCTATTAGCCTCAAATTGAAGGGAAATTTACTTCAATTAGATGGACTTTTAAAGAAGAATATCAAGTTTTAATTTGTGATTGAATGCTTTATTTGCCACATATTGTGATCTGTAATAGCACAAATATAAGATATTTGCTCATGAAGTTTTGTTTTTCATGTTCAGATCATTTTTTACATTAAAAAGGCCCCATAAAAAGTTGTATTTACTTGGATTGAACTCAGGGAGAGAATATTCTACCAGCAATCTGATCCGATATGTTGCTAATGTCTTTCGCTTTAGCTGCAAGTCTAAACAAGCTGCATCATGAATCATTCAGCAAGCTCCTGGGCTTGATTTACAAGCATGATCTGTGATCCGAGGGTCAGCCTTTCTAAATGATCCTGTTTATTTTCCAGCAGGGGGCGCTGCAATGACAGAATAACAAACAGAGCATTATGGGGTTCCTTCTGAGGGAGGGATCTGAACACAAGTAGACAAAGAACTGTTTTATTGCGCAGTCAATGCTCTGGAGACAAACCACTGGAACGGTTATAAAACAAGAACTCCACTCTAAGGAGACTAGAATGTTTCTCCAAGGATCCTCACCGCACTAAGAAGGCATCTGTTCCACACCTGCCAATAGAAACCTGGAATACACCAGAAATATAAAAAAATAACCCATTAATACCCCAAATAATGAAATGAATGCACAGGAGATATTCAATGATTTCGTTAAGGACCATTAGGAAGCCTTGAAGACTCCCTTAAGGACACGCCCTGTATCAGTGCCACAGGACTTGCTTCCCCCTTTTGCATCAGAGGACGCCGCAACATCCAGATGACAAACTGACAAAAGAGCAGTGAAGCGGGTGAAAGGATTTACAGGACTAGAAATGCTGCTGCCGCTCCGAGCAGCTCCCAGGCTCCGCGTTTATTTTTGGACCGCCATGGTGTCCGTTCCTTCCATTTGTAGGAAGGAGGGGTAGCGGGGGGTTGGGGCTGGGGGGAAATCTGGGCTCCACATGAACCTGCCGCTCTGACACTCCGGGCTGGGACAAGCAGGCAGCAGCCGGGCTGGCCGCCCCCCGAGCAGCAGTCGCACAGGTAAACGTGCCGTTATTACACCTTTTATTCTCAGGTAGAGCGCGGGTAAGCTTTTGCAGGAGGGTGGGGGAAATGGTGGATGTTGTTGGGGTGGGGGGGGGGGGGGGTCGGGGGAGAACCACCAATACAGAAACCCCCCACACCCCTCCCGCTCCCCGACCTCTGTGTTGGGCAGTTTGCACCAGCAGGGCTGAGCTAAGCGTTACCTTGCGGCTTCACAGCGTTGGAATGAGGCATGATTGACACGTTTCTATTAATTTCTTCCATGTTCTCTAATTTTGTTTCAAGGGGAACTTGCCCATAGCGTTTGAACACGGCAACACGTTATTCACCTGGTAGGTTCTTTCTTCTTCTGTCTAAACCCTGTTGCTATGTTTATGTGTTTAGCCGCATTACTTTTAGCCATACGACTTAAACAAATTTTGGGGGGGGGGGGGGGGGGGGGGGGGGGGGTTTGATTAATTCACTTGAGGAGAGGACGCCATTGTGGACCCGTTGGGTTTTTTCTTACACGGCTATAATTACCCTTTCCTCTTTTGAACCGGCATCCTGAAGGCGCCCCAAATACCGGACTTACCATAGCCTTAAAAGGAGGGTTTGGGTCTTGTGTGTCAAATGGCAGCAGGGAGGGGAGAAGTGGATGGAAGAGGGGGGAGGGTCTAAAAACACGACCACATTTTACTGAGTTGACACAGGATATTAATCTGAGCATATTGTTCAGTTGTTTTGAACAGATTTATTCAGTTGACTGCGTGATCAGTTGTTATCGTAAAGGTATCTGAACGCTGATTGCACCAATCTTATTTTTTCTCAGAACAACATTCTCAGAGGGGTTGGAAATAAAAACAAAAACAGAAAGGTTCCACCAAAAACCTCCCTTTCTCCAACCTCTAATGTTAAATGCCTGTACTCTTCTGTGATTGAATTATCCATGTTTCTGATGCCCTATCCAGTGTCATTGGGGCTGTGATGTCATGAGTCATGTGCTTTTCCACCCCTCAGCAGATATATATACACACACATCTAAATGAGTGAATCAATGCGGGCAGAGGCACAAGAGTGTCTCTTACAGTGATGTATGATTTTTTATATGGTTTTCTATATTTCATATAGATAAAACGTTACTCTACATTACAATACTTACATTCCTCAACATGTTAACATTTGGATTTGCGTTTTTATGGTCTTTGGAGGATGGACCCTAATGATTTTGTTGTACCTCTTTTTTTTTTCTGCAGCATCAGGACACATTTTACATATATTTGGCTTGAAATGTTTTATTATAGAATGTAACATTGTGGTTTCAAAGACTTCTCTTTAGATTTGGATGTTGGTAGTCCTGGGAGATGAATCTTAATGATTTTGTTAGCCTCCTCTCTTTCACCTACCACCAAGTTTTTCACTTTAAAACACAATATCTAACCATACACGAGCGGCCCAGATGATAAACATTTTCGATTTTTAGTACATTAATTCTTAAGCTCCACTTCCGGTACCAGACCAGTTAAATCAACCAAGTATTTCTTTGTTCAATATTTGTATTGAAAAGACGTAACTTTATCAATTAACATTTTTACCCATAACTAAACCTTAAACCTTCATTATTTTGTTAATTTTGAGCATGGATCATGACTCATTGCTGCACATGTTGCCTACAAGACGACGTACCATCAAAACATTTTTTAAGTGATTATTTAATCTCCATCTCTGTGTAGTAGTTGTTGAACTACTGTAACTATTCAAATCCTACATGATAAGTAAGATAAAATAAGATTTTCCTGCGATCGTGGAGTCATTACACGGTAACGGTTCATACTCTGTGGAGCATGAACGTCAACAATAAATTTCCATTTCATAATTCTTCAGGAAATCAGGAAATCAGGAAACCTTTATTACCAAAATGTGCCAAACATACAAGGAATTTGTCTTGGCGGTTGGTGCGCAACACTAGACAGACAAGACAGCAGTGCACAAATAATAATATAAAGTAAAATGAAATGCTAATGCAATGGGTTAGTAGAATAAGGCTATGGGTTAGTATAAAACAAGGGAATAAAGTTAAAAATTTCAAATATTAAAAAAGTTTTAAAAAAATATTAAGCATAAAGTGCACTAACGAACAAGTAACAAAGTGACGAGTGACGACAAAGTGATGAATTACAGTTAAAGTGACATGTGCAGTGTGAAGGGGAGTGACCGGTGGAATGTTATAGTCAGTCAGTGGGGGACCGGGCTCTGTTGATGAGCCCGACTGCCGACGGGAAGAAACTGTTCGTGTGGCGGGAGGTCTTTGTCCTGATGGACCTCAGCCTCCTGCCAGATGGAAGGGGCACAAACAGTTTTTGTCCGGGGTGAGAGGGGTCGGCCACGATCTTTTTAGCTCGCTTCAGAGACCTGGAAGCGAACAAGTCCTGCAGGGACGGAAGATTGCAGCCGATCACCCTCTATGCAGAGCGGATGACCCGCTGCAGCCTGCCCTTGGCTGTGGCTGCAGCGTACCAGACGGTGATGGAGGAGCAGAGGATGGACTCCATGATGGCCGTGTAGAAGTGGATCATCATCGTCTTTGGCAGGTTAAATTTCTTCAGCTGCCTCAGGAAGAACAACCTCTGCTGAGCCTTCTTGGTGATGGAGCTGATGTTCAGCTCCCACTTGAGGTCCTGGGTGATGATGGAGCCCAGGAAACGGAGGAATCCACAATAGTGACCGGGGAGTCACACAGGGTGATGGGGGAGGGTGGGGCTCTGTTCCGCCAGAAATCCACAACCATCTCCACTGTCTTTAGAGCGTTGAGCTCCAGGTTGTTCTGGCTGCACCACGACACCAGATGGTCAGACTCCCACCTGTTCAGATGGTCCGGGGGAAGGAACCCAATCTTTCTAGATCAGTCCAATGAGGGTGGTGTCATCCGCAAACTTCAGGAGCTTGACGGACTAGTGACTGGGGGTGCAGCTGTTGGTGTATAGGGAGAAGAGCAGAGGGGAAAGAACGCAGCCTTGGGGGGAACTGGTGCTGATGGTCCGAGAGGCTGAGACGTGTTTCCCCAGCTTCACGTGCTGCTTCCTGTCAGACAAGAAGTCTGTGATCCACTTGCAGGTGGAGTCGGGCACATGCACCTGGGAGTTTGTCCTGCAGCAGAGACGGGATGATGGTGTTGAAGGCAGAGCTGAAGTCCACAAACAGGATCCTGGCGTAGGTTCCTGGGGAGTCCAGATGCTGGAGGATGTAGTGGAGAGCCATGTCGACAGCATTGTCCACAGATCTGTTGGCTCTGTAGGCGAACTGCAGGGGGTCCAGGAGGGGGTCAGTGAGGGACTTCAGGTGGGTCAGGACGAGCCGTTCAAAAGACTTCATGACTACAGAGGTCAGGGCGACGGGCCTGTAGTCATTGAGTCCTGTGATCCTGGGCTTCTTGGTAACAGGGATGATGGTGGAGGCCTTGAAGCAGGCTGGTACATGGCATGTCTCCAGGGAGGTGTTGAAGATGTCTGTGAACACCGGAGACAGCTGGTCAGCACAATGCTTCAGGGTGTGAGGGGAGATGGAGTCCGGACCGGCTGCCTTACGGGGATTTAGTCTTTTAAAGAGCCGGTTAACGTCTCTCTCCAGAATAGAGAGGGTCGTTGCTGGTGGGGGAGGGGAAGGTGATATAGATGAAGAGGCGTGAGCACCTGATGGGCTGGGGGAGGGAGGCGAGGGGGAATGCAGCAGGTTGGTGGAGCTGTGGGGGATGGAATCAGGACATTGTCTTTCGAATCTGCAGTAGAACTCGTTCAGCTCGTCTGCCGGGCGGAGGTCATTCATGAAGTGGGGGGTTTTTGGCCTGTAGTTAGTGAGGTGTTAGAGGGCTCTCCAAACCAAAGCAGAGTCACTTGCTGAGAACTGTTGTTGGAGTTTCTCAGAGTACAGTCGTTTAGCATCTCTCACCGCCTTGCTAAACTTTCAGATTTTGACTCTGTGTACAAGTCTTTGTCCCTACTCCTAAATGCCTGATCCTTCTGCAGACGTAGTGTTCTGAGTTCCCCTGTGAACCAGGGTTTGTCGTTGTTGTAACTCACCCTGGTGCATGGTGGTACACAGCTGTCCTCACAGAAGCCGATGTACGAAGTTACAGCCTCTATGAACTCATCCAGACTGTCAGTAGCAGTCCTGAAACCATCCCAGTCGGTGCAGTCAAAGCACGCCTGAAGATCCTCCAGCGCCTCACTGGTCCACTTCTTGAATTCCCTCACCACAGGTTTGCAGAGCTTTAGTTTCTGCCTGTATGCAGGAATCAGATGGACCGTGACGTGGTCAGAGTGTCCCAGTGCAGCACGAGGGACGGCGTGATAAGCCCTGCTTACTGTGGTGTAACAGTGATCCAGCGTGTTCTCCTCTCTGGTGGGGCATTTAATAAACTGTCTGTATTCAGGAAGTTCATGGGTGAGATTTCCTTTGTTATAGTCCCCGAGGACAATAACTGAAGAGTCCGGGTTGGTCCGCTCCACACGCCGTATCTGGTTGGCGAGTGTCCGCTGTGCCTCGTGCACGTTGCCCGCCGACGCCATGTAAACACCGACCAGGATGAATGAAGCGAACTCACGGGGGGAATAAAAGGGTTTGCAGTTGATGAAAAAAGTTTCCAGATCAGGAGTACAGTGTTTTAGGATCACCGTTACGTCGTTGCACCAGCTGTTGTTGAAGTAGAAGCAGATTCCTCCACCGTTTGTCTTGCCGGAGAGCTCTGTGTCGCGGTCCGCTCGGAGCAGCTGGAAGCCCGCCAGCTGGAGCGCGGAGTCCGGTATCGATCCGCAGAGCCACGTCTCCGTGAAGCACAAAACGGAGGATGTAGAGAAGTCTCTGTCTCTCCTCACCAGCAGCTGAATTTCGTCCAGTTTGTTGCACAGTGAGCGCACGTTGGAGAGAAAGATGCCTGGCAGCGGAGTGCGAGAACCACGCTTGCGGAGTCTCACCAGCGAGCCGGCCCGTTTTCCTCTCCTACGGCGTCTTACCGCGTGACGAAAGGTGAGCGCACCTTTGACTATAATGTCCAGTAATTCCACGGAAGAAAGCAGGAAAGTTGGAAGTAACTCCGCTGGAGTTGTTCCACGGATGTTCAAGAGCTCATCTCTGGTGAAAGAGCTCCGGGAATCGCAGCAGCAAACGTAATTAACAACAAAAACAACAAAAAACGAAGAGCACCGAAGCACCGTGGCGGCCTTCAACGGCGCCATCTTGTGTGGTAAAAGGAATTTAGGTATGATATGGCACTAGAGGATAGTTCAATTGGTCACTAAAACTATTCAAAATTATCCTCTGGGAACCATACATGACCAATAATTGAATGGGAATTTAGCCAGTTGCTTAGGTGTTTTCTGCAACTAATATTTTAAAAACTAAATGGAGGGCAAAAATACATTATAAATAATTTGAATTTATTTTGAGTATTGTTGCATTTCCTGTTAACAAGCAAGAGGATCTTTTCCAATGGATGCATATATTATGGACAGATGTTTGCTTTGATGTGAAAGAGAGGCATATTTAAAAATATCATTTTATTGGCTCAATTTTGGTATCGTTGGCTTGATGTCACTACTGAAGTTTCAATCTTCTAGGATAAAGATAAAGCGCCCAATTCCTGGGGTCTTTAACATGGATCAGAATGAAAAATAGACCAATTTCTTTTTTTTAAACCCTCCCCCCAAAAGTTAACTTACTAAGGCCAAAAAGACCGGTTTAGTTTTGGTCAAGAGAAAAAGTTCAACATTTTTTAAAAGTGAATATGAAACTTTAAAATGTATTACTAACATGTGATGGAAATGATATTAATAAAAATTAGTCCAGGTGAAGTGTTCAGTTGGAAACTACAGGTTCAGAGATTTAATCTCAGTTATTAAGCCTTCATACTCTTGCTTTAGATGTGACCTGTTATGAATTTCTGACTCTTCTCTTTCCTCCCCAGGGTACTGAAGGGCTCATGGCTGTTGCATACTGCTCCCTCGCTGAGTCGAGCCTGCTTTCCCAGCATTACACCCCACCCCTGCTACCAAAGCCCAGAAAGGACAATGTTCGTCTTCAGAAGCTACTCAAAAGAACCACCAAGAAAAAGGCTTCCTTTCAGGCATCGCAGCCCGCCGCGCTTTTCCGCTCCAGCCTTTCCCCAGTTAATGAAGCCAGCCCCGACCTTGAGCACAGCGACCACTCCACCCTTCCCAAGACCCTAGAGGCACCATTCGGCTGCCACAGTATCCAGCCGCCTCCGCGGTTTACTGTCAGGCCGCTTTATCAACATGTGGGCTCGCCTTACCCACACCGCATAACCCTCGGCAGAGGGGCGAGGTCCTCGCCTCAGGCAGTGGGAACCCTGTCACACTCGCAGCTCATCACCACAATTTCCACATCGATTCCCCTTGCTGGGGATACATCAGCTCCGGGGCCGGTAGTAGAGTTGGCGGTGCCCCAAATATCTCTGCCAACTTGTTATATACCCGAGGCGGCGAAAAAGCCAGCTTTCAGCATATTTGCTGAAACTCATGTCATTGTGAAACTGGGAGCAGCCGGAGAAACCCCAAAGACTAAGAGTCCAGGTCCAACTTCACATTCAGAAACTGGGGGTCCGGCTGTGGTTCGTCCTCTAACTGTGTTGACCCTGTGCGGCAAATCCAAAAGTCCACGTCCAACGTTCAAAGCAACAGAGCATTCAAGATTACCCAAGCCGATGTTCGACGTCCCTCAAATTAGGTTGTACACAACAAGCACATCACACTACAAGTCATCCAGGACCCCACCGGTGTATGGCACACCTGGATTGACCGCTATCGGCAGCACAGTACCTCAAAGTAAAACCCCAACAGAAACAAAACCAGATTTGACTTCAGCATCTGCAGGCAGAAGAGGCACAACAACAACAGCTCAGCTTCCTATAATGGGCACTGATTCCCCGAGAAAGACAACAACATCAAAAATCAAAAGAGGCACTAAAGTAACAGCAGATATTACGGTCATAACTCCTAAAGCCAAAATGAAAAGAGCTACACCAACGTTTGGATTCAAAAGAGCTTCCCCAACAGCCGAAATCAAAGGAGCTACCCCAACGGCCAAAATGAAAGGAAGTATCCCAACGGCTGAAATCAAAACAGCTACCCTAACGGCTGAAAGAGTTAAAACACCAACTTTTGAGTTTCAAACAACTTCGCCATGGTGGCCTAGAACCCCAGCATACCACTTGTCTCGCGCCACAACGCCTGCCTTTGAAGTCTCCAAACCCAATCCTCGCTTGTTTGCAGTGTCGCCAATCACTGTAGAACTAGAGAGGTCAAGAACGCCCCACAGTGTTCCTGCTATGGGCAATATATCTGCTTCCCAAAGCATCAAGGCCCTTGAACCTAAGCCTACTGAGATAATAGTGAATGGGGACATTTATTCGGAAATCGTTTCTGCTGTAAAACCAATCCAACAATGCATAACAAAGTCGAAATTGGAGTCTGATCTGACAAGAGGAACTGCTTCACCTGTCAACACTTCAACAGCTGAGCCAAAAACACTAGTAGTTATTCCTCACAGCAATAATCAGAGGCCTAAGACACCAACATACGAAGCATCCCGACTTATGACCACGTCACCTGGCTATAAAAGACCAAGGACACTAACACGTGGGATTTTGCCTTTTGTTTTATCCCCTATAGTCTTTCAGAGACCCAAAACCCTGACCAAAAAGAATGAAAAGTCAAATTCTGGCTACCGGGGGTTGACCCCAGCTGAATATGCTGCTCACGGTGGAATAAGAACTTACTGTCCAGCATTTGATATCTTCGGATCCAAAACTGAGGAGGAGGGTGCAGCTGCAAAAGAGGAATCAGCAGAATGTAAGACAACTAGCCAAGAATCATCTGTGAAGAAACCCAAAGAAACTCTCAACGATGTAGATAAACCCCACATGGAAGCTAAAAAGGATACAATCACCCTTTCAATCGCAACTATTATTGTTTCACAAGAATCCGACGCCTCAAGAACAACGTCAAAACAAAAGACCAGTATGGTATTCTGTCAAACCGCAGAGGACCAAGAAAAAACTGTGATTCAAAAAACAGCAATGGCTCAATTTCCAGCAGCAGAGGGGAAATCTCTTGAGAAAAAGAAAATAGAAACACAAGTTCGAGAAGTGGCCAAACCGAAGTTGAAACCTTCGGAAGCCAAACATCCTGCGTCAAACAGTGACGAGAAAGATCCTCTGATGGCACCGAGAAAGCTTTTAGGCAAAGATAAAGTCCAGGAATGTGGAACTGAGACAAAAACCGACGTCTCAGATAATAAAGAGCTGGCGAAACCAGTAGACGCAACCAGGGCCAAAGCAGAAGACTCCGAGCAAAGCACTGCTCTCCCTGCTAAGATGTCTACGATTGAGTCAACAGGAACTAAAGGCAAGGAAACCAAAGCAGAATCAGCTTCATTAGTTAAATCTGCAACTGAGATAAAGGAAGGAGATGAATCCCTCTTGCCTAAGCCCCTTCTCAAGGTCATACAAGGGCCGGAAGGCGTAAAATCTAAATTGAGTGGTTGGTCCCGACTCAAGAAGCACATGGTCATGGAACAGGAGGAGCCCAAATTTCCAGATATACGGTCCCAGAAGGAGATAGCCGGGCCAGAACAGAGCGAGGCGCAAAAGGCCCCCACCGAGATGGACTTTGACGAGCCCGTCACTCCAGATGAGAACCGACCCAAAGACCCTCCTGTGGCGACGAAGATGTGGGAGGCCGTTCTCTTCCAAATGTTTTCCACTAAAGAGACTATCTTGCACCAGATTGAGCTGAACAAGAGCAAAGAGGAGAAGGACGAGGGCCGCGAGGAGGAGTCGAAAGAGGTACCTTCGTTTGCCCACCGGCTGCCCGTGCTGCTTTTCAGTCCGAGGTTTGACGCCAAGAGGCTGAAGGAGGCGGCGTGGAGGCCGGTGATGAAGATCTCTACCGTTTTTGAAATGGGTCTGATCGGCCGCAAAGTCAAAGACGAGGAACCAAAAGACTTTAATAGAACAGCAAGGAGGTTCACCGCTACTTCCGCTAATAAAATATGAATATATATATATATAAATAGGTCATGATACATGTTCGGTGTACAGGTGCAGAAGTCTTAGTTGCTGAGTTAACGAATTACTTTATACTAGACAAATTTGTTCGACATTTGTGTTTGCATTTGTGTGACTGGTTGGCTGATGTTGAGTGTTTGTGTTTGTGGAAGAAGAAAAAAAGACATAGGCTACATCTTGAACGTAATTCAGACGTCACATCCGATTAAAGCGTTTCTGTTTTCAGTAAAGCAGAGCTTCTTGTTTCTTTTATCAGAATAGATACATATTTTGATAAGTTAGAGTTAGTAATTTCTCAAATTGTTTTACTCAAAATGATGCCTCAGGGTGAAAACCTCATAATTAGGAGTACAATTGATTTTTAAAATATTTCTTTTAGGTTTTAGTTGGTTCTAGTCTTGGGACTGAACTTTCGGTCCTCTTAACTTGACCCTTTTCCTTGGACATAATGACCGCATTGAAGAAGGAGAGGAATGCATAGTCGGTTATGCACAAAGAGAGGTTTTGATGCAGAAGAGGGAGATATTCTACGTGAACAAATGAATGTCCCGAGTATCAGCTTGCTCTCAGACACAATCACACTCATTTTAGAGATTTATTTGTGGGAAAAGAAAACTTTCCTAAAGTCTAAAGTCCACCGGATGTGTTTCATCAAAACCTTTCATCATTCACACCTAGAAGCCTTTTAGTAATAGGCAATAAATGGATATTTTCGAGATATTGCGTGTTGAGTTGAAATGCAAACCATTGCAGTGTTATATGCGTCCGAATAAGATTTTTTTTTTTTTTTATGTTTTCTTTCTTTACTATTTCTAAAGGTGTGCAATGGAGTTGATTTAGATGAATAAAGAAGGTTTATCATGTCTCGATTTAATCTCTTTCTAAAAATTTATATTTTTTATTCACACAAACCTGAACTTTCATGGTTTCACTCTTTTGGATTTCTCTGATCAATTTATTCATCTTCCATGGCTGATATTCTTTCAGACTAAACAAAATGAAACATTTATTTTACTGCTCAATAAATGCTCCTCTTCATGTAGTGATGAAGTGGTGAAGTTTCATGTTGATTTCTAATACCAAAAATGATAGACTTTGAAACAGTGCTGGTTTTTCTATTATTGTATTTATATTAATTAAAATCAGGTGAACACTAGTTTAGCGGCATCTATCGGATACTTTAGCAAACGTCCTGAGGCGCAGAAAATAAGTTCAGTTATCACTCATTTATCAAACCACTGTGCTCATAAAACCCCCCAAGAAGAATAACGCTTGTTCCAGAGTGGATGTGATTTCATTGATGAACCACTTCCTGTCCATCATTTATGTATCCTCCTATAACGGTGTGACAGTAAAACTCTTCTATTTCTACTCTTCTATCCTCTCCACTATTTAACTTCATTGATTCCGCATTAAGATAATTCCCTTTTTAATGGGTAGAAAATGTTCATGATGTCAAAGATAAAAGCTTTGCGGAACGTCTTTGGGCTTCAAATCCTGAAAATCGATCATTAATCAGGAATTAGGAACATTTATTGCCAAAATGTGTCAGACATAAAAGAAATTTGACATGGCGGTAGTTGCGTAACTTTGGACAATGAGACAATGAACAAGACAAGTAACATAGTGCAAGAAAACAAAACATACAAAACGTGTCAGCATTCTGTTTTCGGAAGACAAAAAGTTTATAGTTTGTAGTTTATAGCAGAGGATCGACCAATCGCCAAGGCAGCGTTGGGATGCCATTGAAACCACACGTCAAGAAGGCGCGGTCGACCGCGGGAGCTATTGGACAAACTAATGCTAATGCTAATTGGCGATCATTGGTTACTAACGGACTAACTAATTGGTGATGCATATGGACTACTACTCTCTCGAATGTTCTGACTCTATAGGAGCTGTTGAATATGAGAACGTACTAGGTCATACTGGGAAGGATGGATCTGTCTATACGGCTGTCTTATAGGCGTTTCATCCATCAATAGGATTTCATGCATTATCAAGTTGGTACTACCCACAACGCCGTCATCCTTTACGAAAACCTTGGGGTTCTTTGACAGCAAATCCCTGGCCTGTTGTTTCTCTCTTCCCTGCAAATTTTCAAATTCAGGGAAACCCAAATAAATATCAGCCATAGTCATTTCTTGACTGGAAACAACTGCAGTACAACTGTGAGAATCAACAGAAAGGTATAACTGAATCAGCTGACACTATAGTGGCTGTTTGAACTGTGGCAACAACTCTACGAGGTGTTGTAAAGAGAACAAAGTTATTCAAAAACTCCCAATATTCACAGGGAAGTACCATCAAAGTCTTATGTCTTTTATTCAGAAATTTGAGGTTTTCCAAGTTTAGTAATGATTGGAGCATATTTAGTACCTCAAAAGCACCTTTGTCTTGATAGTGAATAACTGGTTGTTATTGCAACACCGTAACACAAAACAAAAAGTTTTAAATAACCTTTGATCAACATCGACAAAGTCCCAGGGAGGAGTTCGTCCAAGATTCGACGATCAATTTTTTGAAAATCACTGCATGGGAATACTTTAAGGCGTACAATAGCATCATGAATTAGAAATTTCGGCCAGAAAAAAAAATGTTGTTTCGAAATCGACCAAAATGGACGTGAGGTCACACATGGTAGTTTCACAAAAACTCTTGATTTTAATAACTTTGGACCATTCAGTTGTAAGGATCCATTTTCCCGAAAATGAAGTGGATCGGGTTTAAACTCTCGGAGGAGTTTGTTTGTTTGTAAAGCCAAAATGCGATGGAAATCGCAAAAAACAAGCAAAAGTTCAGAGAACGACTGCAGCGCTCCCTAAAGTTCAAATATTCTGAAAATATCACGGTATGCTCAGGGACTCAATGTAAACATGTCGTAGCGATTTGGTGAAGTTATAGGTCTTTCACGTTTAGGCCACACCCCCGACAACCTGCATTGGTCCATAACTTCGAAACCCAATGAGATATCAATAAGCTTTTAATAACTTCTAATGGCAGTGACCCAATGATGATTTCCTGAAAATTCCATGAATATCGGTCCTAGCGTCTAGGAGGAATTCGCAAAAAACGTTTTTTTCACAAAATTAAAAATGGCGGAAAATCTAGTCAGGTGCATTTGCATAACATGATTGACTTTTTTGTAGATCTTATCCAAGAGCACCTGTGTCCAAAATGTCAAGTCAATTGGTGAAAGTAGAAAAAAATCTCCCAGAGGAAATGTCCCTAGGGGGCGCTAGATAGCCATTTTATCAAACCCAAATGCGCGACCCCGAAATTATCAAATTTATTCGCACTTCTGATGCGCATGCAAAATTTCAAGAGTTTTGGAATATGATGAAGGCCTCAAAAGTGCGATTGAATCGGTAAAATAATAAGAATAATTCTTCGAAACACAATAGGCCTTTCGCACGACTTGCAGTCGGCTCAGGCCCTGATTCAAGCTGCAAGCAGCGATGAACGGGCCTTCGCCTCCCCTTGCATGTCGGGGGGGCAGCGGTCAGCCAGACAGGCCGGGTCTGGTGTGGGCCGCTGCTCCACAGTGAGGGCTGCTTTCCAGGACAGAGAAAGGAACTGGTAATGGTAATATTCAAGGACAGACAGCAGGGACACCTGAGGCTTCGGGTGTTAAGAGAGATCGCCTCACATCAGCACTGACATGCTGGAGGGGGTAGCATGCAGGCAACGGAGTTGGTGTCTGCAAGCTGAAGGACAACGAGGACTGAAGCAAGTTGCACCCTAGTCTCCAGCGTTTCCTTTTCTCCTTCCGCGTCCCAGGATCTGGCCGCCACGGCATTCGAGCAACCCAAAGATGTAGATGCAGAGAAAGAAGGAAGGAAGAAAGAAGATATGACACATGACACACCAAGTCTGCTGATATGGAGGAGAAATCCACACAGCTGGATCATAGCTGTAGCCTCCCAATGACTGCCCCTGGATCAAAGCAGTTGCTGGGGCTGCTTTATTATTACATTGCATGTCATTTAGTCCACATCAGCTCTTTAATGTCATCACATAGGACACTGACAGAAGTTTTCAAGAGTTTTTGAGTTTGCCAAGGCACCAAAGTATCTGCTTGAACTTTCATGCGAAGGCCGTGTCGTCACGGCAACACGGTTTTTCAAAAACTTCCAATATTCACTGTGAACTATCATCAAAGCCTTAAGGCTTATATGCAAGGATTTGAGGTTGATCGGATTAAATGGCTAGGAGATACACATTAAAGTGTACAACTTTTGCATTTAGCTAAGCCAATAGGTGGCGCCATAATTTTTTGAAAATCACTGCATGGGAATACTTTGAGGCGTACAATAGCATAATTAATTAGAAATTTCGGCCAGAAATAAAAATGTTCCTTGGAGTTATAACATTTTACGTTTTCAAGAAAATGTACCGAAATCGACCAAAATGGACGTCAGGCCACGCCCTGATAGTTTCACGAAAACTGTTTATTTTAATAACTTTTGACCATCCAGTTGTCAGGATCCATTTTCCCGAAAATGAAGTGGATCGGGTTTAAACTCTCGGAGGAGTTTGGTCGTTTGTAAATCCAGAATACGAATCGCTAAAAAAAAAGCAAAATTTCAGAGAACGACTGCAGCGCCCCTTAAAGTTCACATATTCTGAGAATCTCAGGGTATGCTCAGGGACTCAATGTGAACATGTCCTAGAGATTTGGTTAAGACAGGCCAATTACTTTTTAAGTTATAGGTCTTTCACGTTTAGGCCACACCCCCTACAACCTTCATTGGTCCATATCTTCGAAACACAATGAGATATCAAAAAGCATTTAATAACTTCTGGTGGCTGTGACCCAATAATGATTTCCTGATATTTTTTTGAGAATTAGACCGCCAGCGCCACCCCGCTGGTCTGGCCCTGGTTCGGTCGAGGTGAGCTGCATCTGGCCCGTACCTGATTTGAGTTTGAGACCCCTGATCAAGAGGCTCTGTCCTCTTTAATTCAACCGCGTCATCAATTAGTTCATTCATTTCTAATTACCACCCCCCAGTCTTTATGCTAAGCTAAGAGAGCAATGTCCTTCTGCTTTGCCTCTTTTAACCAAGTAAACTAGCAGCTTCTCCATTGTTTTGATTTCTAGCAGACTTGTGGCCACTGAGTCTTTAGATCAAGGGTCCCCAAACTTCTTCCTGTGAGGGCCACATAACTTTTCCCTTCACTGTTGGCAGTTGGCAGTTTGTATCAGGAAAAGTGTGCAAGATCACAGGGGTGCCTAAATATAAGCATTTAGATAGATAGATA